ATAGAATAACAACAAAATCCAGAAAAACGCACGTCAAAAAATTTATAAATTGATTTGCATTTTAATGAGGGAAATAAGTATTTGACCCCTCTGCAAAACATGACTTAGTCCTTGTTGGCAATCACAGAGGTCAGACGTTTCTTGTAGTTGGCCACCAGGTTCGCACACATCTCAGGAGGGATTTTGTCCCACTCCTCTTTGCAGATCTTCTCCAAGTCATTAAGGTTTCGAGGATGATGTTTGGCAACTCGAACCTTCAGCTCCCTCCACAGATGTTCTATGGGATTAAGGTCTGGAGACTGGCTAGGCCACTCCAGGACCTTAATGTGCTTCTTCTTGAGCCACTCCTTTGTTGCCTTGGCCGTGTGTTTTGGGTCATTGTCATGCTGGAATACCCATCCACGACCCATTTTCAATACCCTGGCTGAGGGAAGGAAGGTTCTCACCCAAGATTTGACGGTACACGGCCCCGTCCATCGTCCCTTTGATGCGGTGAAGTTGTCCTGTCCCCTTAGCAGAAAAACACCCCCAAATGTTTCCACCTCCATGTTTGACGGTGGGGATGGTGGTCTTGGGGTCATAGGCAGCATTCCTCCTCCTCGAAACACAGCGAGTTGAGTTGATGCCAAAGAGCTCCATTTTGGTCTCATCTGACCACAACACTTTCACCCAGTTGTCCTCTGAATCATTCAGATGTTCATTGGCAAACTTCAGATGGGCATGTATATGTGCTTTCTTGAGCAGGGGGACCTTTCGGGCGCTGCAGGATTTCAGTCCTTCACAGCGTAGTGTGTTACCGACTGTTTTCTTGGTGACTATGGTCCCAGCTGCCTTGAGATCATTGATAAGATCCTCCCGTGTAGTTCTGGGCTGATTCCTCACCGTTCTCATGATCATTGCAATTCCACGAGATGAGATCTTGCATGGAGCCCCAGGTCGAGGGAGATTGAGTTATGTTGTGTTTCTTCCATTTGCGAATAATCGCACCAACTGTTGTCACCTTTTCACCAAGCTGCTTGGCGATGGTCTTGTAGCCCATTCCAGCCCTGTTGTAGGTCTACAATCTTGTCCCTGACATCCTTGGAGAGCTCTTTGGTCTTGGCCGTGGTGGAGAGTTTGGAATCTGATTGATTGATTGCTTCTGTGAACAGGTGTCTTTTATACAGGTAACAAGCTGAGATTAGGATCACTCCCTTTAAGAGTGTGCTCATCTCAGCTCGTTACCTGTATAAAAACACCTGGGAGCCAGAAATCTTTCTGATTGAGAGGGGGTCAAATACTTATTTCCCTCATTAAAATGCAAATCAATTTGTAACATTTTTGAACATGCGTTTTTCTGAAAAATGTTGTTGTTATTCTGTCTCTCACTGTTCAAATAAACCTACCATTAAAACTATAGACTGATAATTTCTTTGTCAGTGGGCAAATGTACAAAATCAGCAGGGTATCAAATACTTTTTTCCCTCACTGTACATGACATCATAACAACAGTCTGGACCACTGAATGGGTTCCGCAGGACTGAAAGGATGCCCTAGTGGTCCCCCTCTTTAAGAAGGGGGACCGCACAGACTATAACAACTACAGGGGTATCTCACTCCTCAGTGTGCCAGGAAAGGTGCTGGCAAGGATTATTCAACATCGCCTTGCTAGGCACGCCGAGGAGAGGCTTGCAGAGCCCCAATGCGGTTTCAGGAAAGGGCGGTCTCTTGCTTTATTGACCTGCTCAAGGCCTATGATACCATCAGTAGGCCTGGGCTCTGGGTTGTTCTTCGTGATTTCGGAGTCCCTGACCCTCTGCTCACGATCATTAAGGACCTTCATGATGGTGAGCGGGCCCGGGTAAAACTAGAAGAATCACAGTTGTGTTCGTTAGTTTCTGAAAACGCTTGTCCTGGTGAGGGTCGTGGTGGCAGCATGCTGATTAGGGTGGTCCAGGTTTCCCTTTCCCTGGCGAAATACTCTAGCTCATCCTGGGGAATTCCAAAGTGTTCCCAGGCCAGCCGAGCAACATAGTCTTGGGCCAGCCCTGGGGTCTTCGCCCAGAGGGACGTGTCTGGTAGAGTTCCAGGGGGAGTCTATTGGGGGGCATTCTTACTTATATTCTATATTGATATCACCCATAGAGCCAGGCCCAGGGTTGTGTTCACAAAACAAGCGCCTCGTGGCTGTGTGACCCACGTAACTCAGGCCAACTCGAATTGGCTAAGTGGTGCCATCCTGTGCGTCGAACATCCACAGGATGAAGGGTGAGGGGCGGGTGCGACTTTGCGCTTGTGTAGATTTTTTGTGAACCAAATTGCGCCAACACACCCCAAACTTTCCATGCACACTCACGGGTGAGTTAGTGTGTTTTTCGCACAATTTGTATCTTACCTTCTCACCTTCAACACCTATACCACCTGCACACTCCAACCCCGCCCCCGCTCCTCACCTCCCCCCCTCGCTTTCTCTTGCCATGTGTTAAAGCCCGGGGCACAAATAAATAAAATAATAGCATACTACGACGTTTCAATTATTATTTTATCTTTATACGTGACTTTATCGAAAGAACCAAAGAGTAATCCCTGCAATCACGAAAGCTCCAAATTAAGATTGAACCACTTCTACGGGGAAGTTTTTAAGCTTATCTTTTTTTCTCTCTCTCTGGGTTTTTGTTTTCTCTCTCTGCCTGTGTCCTCTCTTTTGAATTTTCACACTTAAATTCTAACTTAGCAATCTTTGAAATACGTAATCAACCAGGCTATGCGTTAATTGTGTGTTGACCGACTCTCTGTGTTGCACTACATTACATTTCGATCTTTTGCTAGGTTATTTAATTTGAGTGTGTCTCTCTCCCGTTCACCTAATTTTCAAGCTTGCATACCGTACCACACGTCGTCGTACTCATTGACAGGCTAATGTTTTCTTTGCCCCCTCCCGCTCTCCGCCCCCGCCCCCCTCTCTCTATTTAAGGCCTCGTCACAGAGACGATCTCTCTCTTTGTGCCGATACGTGTTCTCTCTCTGTGTATCGTTGTGATATCTGTCTGCTTATATGTCTGTCTATAGTTTTATGGTTAGATTTTTGTTGCTATTTCTTTTATACCCGATTATGATTGCTTGTGTTGCAATCGAAACGTCGTAGTATGCTATTATTTAATTTATTATTTTATCTTTATACGTGACTTTACCAAAAGAACCAAAGAGTAATCCCTGCAGTCACGAAAGCTCCAAATTAAAACCCTTACTAGTTGGCTGTGTCGGGTGGTGGCGGGTTTAACGACACATTTATATAGTTAGACGATATAACCCAAACAAACCTGTATTATGGATGTATATTTGGAGTTTGCGTGTCTCACTCCCTGTGGTCGCGTGGATTTTCCACCACATTTAGAGTCAACATCACCACGCGTTTAGACTATTTGACCGATATACATTTCCACACGTTAATAAGCCACTTTGTGGGCAGGTTGCTTCTGGAAAAGAGTGGTGTAGCTCAAGTGCGCTTGGCCTTGGTAAGAAAAAAAACTGTAGAAATAATTAAAAGAAACAAAGTTTCAAAGTAGTGAGCCAGATGAAGACAAATTAAACTTAAGCAGAGAATTAAAGCAAATGCAATCAGGCGAGGGCAGGAGGAAAGGCCCCGCATGGCTAGGCCCCGCGTTGTAATGTTCCAACCTGGACGTCGATTCCATACTCGCTGCTACTCAATTGATATCCCTCCAAGAGAAATAAGATGCGAGGCTCTACCTGGGTAAACAACAACAACCACCACGATGTGAACTTCTCACCTCGGATCTCAGGGAGAGCGCGCGCGGTGCAGCAGCTTCCGGATATATCATGACGTCACGTGGCAGTAGGCGGTGACATGACATCACTTGCGGGGTTGAACACAATCCCCTCCACTCTGGGAACCTCATTTGCCATTAAAAATATGATAATTGGTTTTTTACCCTTCTATCTGGCAACAAAACTGACACCTTTTTACAAGGAGTCATGTTTGCATAGACTGCAATACCTGCAGTCATAATACAAACAAAAAAACATAACTCTGATAATGTGCACTGTCCTTGAAGTTGATTGGTCCACACCCGAGACAGCTTTCCTTAGAGCCTCGTCTCACATGGGTTGGACCAGATGACGCCAAAAGGCGCACAACTCAAAGACAATGCACCATCAGAGTATGAGAGCTCGGGGCAAGCATCTACACTATGGGAACCTCATTTGCTAGTAAAAATATTATTGGGTTTTTTACCCTTCTATCTGGCAACAAAACTGACACCTTTTTACAAGGAGTCATGTTTGCATAGACTGCAATACCTGCAGTCATAATACAAAAAAACATAACTCTGATAATGTGCACTGTCCTTGAAGTTGATTGGTCCACACCCGAGACAGCTTTCCTTAGAGCCTAGTCTCACATGGGTTGGACCAGATGACGTCAAAAGGCGCACAACTCAAAGACAATGCACCATCAGAGTATGAGAGCTCGGGGCAAGCATCTACACTATGGGAACCTCATTTGCCAGTAAAAATATGATAATTGGTTTTTTACCCTTCTATCTGGCAACAAAACTGACACCTTTTTACAAGGAGTCATGTTTGCATAGACTGCAATACCTGCAGTCATAATACTCGGGGCAAGCAGATGCTTGCCCCGAGCTCTCATACTCTGATGGTGCATTGTCTTTGAGTTATGCGCCTTTTGGCGTCATCTGGTCCAACCCATGTGAGACTCGGCTCTAAGGAAAGCTGTCTCGGGTGTAGGACCAATCAACTTCAAGGACAGTGCACATTATCAGAGTTATGTTTTTTTGTTTGTTTTTTGTTTGTATTATGACTGCAGGTATTGCAGTCTATGCAAACATGACTCCTTGTAAAAAGGTGTCAGTTTTGTTGCCAGATAGAAGGGTAAAAAACCAATTATCACAATCCCCTCTCCCAACGTGCGGCGGTGTAACTGAATAAATTATGTTAATGACACGTGCCCATGTCCAATGATGCGGCGTGGATGCTCAACCCTTCGCAATGAACTCGCGACGGTATGCATGAATACATTTTGTTAATGAACCAAATGTGAATGAGCGTAGCTTTGCTTAAATAAGGATTTTTACTGGAACGGAAATCGGCAGTGACCAACCAGACGTGATGTCACGCTCAAAAGCGCGCTGGAGGGTTGGGGGGTCGAATACCTTGGTGACATGACGTCACTAGCGAGGCACATCTCCCTCAGGCGTCTCACACCGATGATATATTGCGGAATTGTGACGTCAAGAGCGGGGGTTTGAGTTTATTTAGATTACTTTTCCATTGCTCCCTCTCATGAATATTGACCCCTTGGGTGCCTGAGCTCAACAACAACGTGAACACTATTGTGTGTGTACACATGGTGTGTGTACACTGTGCGTGCGTGTACACTGTGCGTGTGTGTAATCTGTTTGCACAGGAAAGGGCACAGGTGGTGCATCGGGCAGTCATCTCAGTCAGTCGACCCGCGGCACCTGCTGGGTCTGCCCCGTGACCTCCTGCCGGCGGGCGTTCGACACTTCACGTGGCCTTAACGTGCACGTAGCCTGGCACAAGCGGCGCGGTGACATCACCACCACTTAGTGACGAATGGCGGTTGTTCTTGTTACTGTGTATACACTGTGTATGTGCAGACTGTGTGTACACTGTGTGTAGATTGTGTGTACACAATATATGTCTACATTGCGTATGTGTGGACACTCTGGGTGGTCCGAATCAGTCGGGCGGCATTATCTTTTCATCAGCTGCCCAATGCTGTGTGGAAGCTACCTGGTCTATCGCTCCGCATGAAGCTCCGGGTCTTCTCGGCAACAGTCATGCCCTCCATTCTATAGGAATGTGAGACGTGGACCCCTCTAAATGGAACATTTGCGTGCGTTAGAAACATTCAGGCTGGCATGCCTACACTCAGATTGAAGGAAGCCAAGTGGTAGCGCTTTCTCTATACGCACAAGTCATTGCATGTTGGTGTCATTCTCAAAATGTGGTTAATTACAAATATTATCTAGAAATGTAATGTAGATTACACATCAATTATCGCCCCCTCGTGACACTCATGCCCACATGGAGGCTGGTGCAGGGCCACCTTATGCCACACATGGCCAGCTGCCACTTGGGGGTGCTCTTCCGAGTGTTTGTGATTATTATATTATATAAAACTCCCGAGTTGCTGAGGCAATTAAGCAAGCACCATATAAATGCTAATATTATTATAACATAGAGAATGATTGGGAGCTTATTGGCTCTTGTTGTTGGGTAGATATCTACCAAACCCACAGGTTCACAAATACTGGCCGCTCTTAATCTGCAGATTGAACCGTGGAATTCAGTGTTCAGCTTCACAGTCTTTCATTAAAGGCCTGTGACAAAGGTGAATCTATTGGAGCTTGTCTCAAGCTTACACATCTACAGGGTCTCCATTTGACTTTGTATTGTCTAAGAAGTCCACCCACACCTCCACTTCCACAAACTCCTGGGAGTTGCCTCGCTCTGCCTCACAGTCAGAATTCTCCTCCTGCTTCATGTTGCCTCCATCGATGTGAAGGTCCGATTTTGGAGTTGAATCTTCATCTTCACATTTTACCGTCACATCTTCACTCTTCACTGCCACCTCTTCACATTTCAACTTCGCCTCTTCAAATTTCACCTTGATACATTTCACAGTGTCCAAGCTGGAATTTACTTCTGGTTCTTGTTTCAGGAGGGATAGGCTCATTGAATCACTTTGACTTTCACAAGTCGATTTCAGACTACACTCCTTGGGGATCTTCTGATGCCTGTGTGTCCTCTGGTGTATATAAAGCTGTGGTGACTGTGCAAACGCCTTCCCGCACAGAGTGCACTTGAAGGGTTTATCTACTGTGTGTGGTGTCTGGTGTCTTTTAAGATCAGATGAACTTGAAAATGCCTTCCCACACACACTGCACTTGAAGGGTTTCTCTCCTGTGTGCATTCTCTGGTGTTTTTTAAGATGTGATGACTCTGTAAATGCCTTCTCACACATAGTGCATTTGAAGGGTTTGGCTCCTGTGTGTGTTCTCTGGTGTCTCTGAAGAACTGATGACTTTGCAAATGCCTTCGCACACACACTGCACTTGAAGGGTTTCTCTCCTGTGTGTGTTCTCTGGTGTATTTTAAGATAAAATGAACTTGAAAATGCCTTCCCACACACACTGCACCTGAATAGTTTCTCTCCTGTGTGTGTTCTCTGGTGTCTTTGAAGATGTGATGACAGTGCAAACGCCTTCCCGCACAGAGTGCACTTGAAGGGTTTAGCTCCTGTGTGTGTTCTCAGGTGGCTCTGAAGATTTGATGACTGTGCAAATGTCTTCTCACACACACTGCACTTGAAGGGTTTCTCTCCTGTGTGTGTTCTCTGGTGACTCTGAAGAACTGATGACTGTGCAAATGCCTTCTCACACACACTGCACTTGAAGGGTTTCTCTCCTGTGTGTGTTCTTTGGTGTTTTTGAAGATCTGATGACTTTGCAAAAGCTTTATCACACAAAAGGCACCTGAAGGGTTTCTCTCCCCTGTGTGTTCTCTGGTGTCGTTTAAGAGGAGATGAACCTGAAAATACCTTCCCACACAAATTGCACTTGAAAGGTTTCTCTTCCGTGTGTGTTCTCTCGTGGTCGTGAAGAATTGTTGACCGTGTAAATGCGCTCCCACACACAGTGCACTTGAAAGGTTTTTCTCCTGTGTGTGTTCTCTGATGGCTCTGAAGATTTGATGACTTTGCAAATGCCTTCTCACACACAGTGCACTTGAAGGGTTTCTCTCCTGTGTGCGTTCTCTGGTGTTGTTTAAGATGTGATGACCGTGTAAACGCCTTCCCACACACAGTGCACTTGAAGGATTTCTCTCCTGTATGTGGTGTTTGGTGTCTTTTAAGATCAGATGAACTTGAAAATGCCTTCCCACACACACTGCACTTGAAGGGTTTCTCTCCTGTGTGTGTTGTCTGGTGTTTTTTAAGATGTGATGACTCTGTAAAGGCCTTCTCACACATAGTGCACTTGAAGGGTTTCTCTCCTGTGTGTGTTCTCTGGTGTCTCTGAAGAACTGATGACTTTGCAAATGCCTTCTCACACACACTGCACTTGAAGGGTTTCTCTCCCGTGTGTGTTCTCAGGTGGCTCTGAAGAACTGATGACCATGCAAATGCCTTCTCACACACAGTGCACTTGAAGGGGTTCTCTCCTGTGTGAGTTATCTGGTGCCGTGTCAAATTTCCAGTACGATCCGTGCTGTTTGCATACTGGTCGCATCGTTTCCTTCTTGTACAGAGCTGCGCTGAGTCCCTTTGCTCCATCAGACCAATTCTGCAGAGGAAACGTCAGAGGAAGCGTCAGCTGTAGTCAGAAAAACATATCCACACCATCTACATCAGTATCAAGGCACAGAGGAATGCATATATACAGTCACACATGACTTACACATCTAAATGTATTCATATATTCATGATATAGTGAAAATAATTCCCCAATTCATCATACGGGCTGTTAAGGCACACAATGAGAGGGCCAATGGTCATAAATATGCCTGGATGCTCTAGTATCTTCAAAATGAATGTTTACCCAAAACTCCAAGCACACAATTTCGGCTGTCTAGCTACGAAAGGAATATTTATATTAATTTAAGAAAAATTCAGCTAACATAGCAAAGCGTGTTGAAAATAATACTATTTGTATTATGCAGATATGCATAAATTAATGTCCAATCGAAACTTTGAGGTGTGAAGCCAGGCTCAGATTTGCTTGAATGCTCGGATGAACAGATCTAACTTCAGCTACATATGTGCTGAGATATTTTCCTGACTGTTTCCATTCTTATAAAAAGTCCCAAAGGAAAACTAAAATAAACTATTGTTTTGATTTAACCTCCATGTTCAATAGTTAATATACAGGGTGTTTTAAAAAGATTGACGGGATTTGAACACGCTATATCTCTGCAACCACGAACCACCCATTAATGAAACTCTTAACACTTGAAAGGGCGGGGCATAGAGTTTCAAATGATTACCGCTAGATGCCTCTCTCAGCGCACAAACAGCCCCGAGCCTCAGTCAATCGCAAGATGGTGACCCCGCAACACAAGGCGTTTTGCATTCTGCAGTTCAGCAGACTGAATCCGTAATTGCGGTGCAGCGTGCGTTTCAACGGCGTTTTGGCATTGATCCGCCAATGTCAAAGAGGATTCATCGTTGGTACCGACAATTTGAGGAAACAGGCTGTTTATGTAAGGGGGAGAGCACAGGGCGACCACGCACCTCAAAGGAAAACGTGAGAAGAATTCAAGAGTTTTCTGCGTCAGCCGCACAAGTCCACTCATCGTGCCAGCTGAGAACTTGCGACTTGTCATACGACTGTCTTGTGTGTGTTAAGGCAACACTTAATCATGAGGCTATACCGGTTGCAAATGGTACAGACTCTTTGTGCAGGTGACAAAGGAAAGCATGTAGAATTTTGTGATGCGATGTTACAGAACATGGAGGACGACAGCGTCTTACCGAGTTTGATTTTTAGTGAAGCAACGTTTCATCTAAGCGGTAAAGTTAACCGTCACAATGTGCACATATGGGGAGAGAATCCACACGAAACTGTAGAGCATGAGCGTAATTCCACGAAAGTAAACGTGCTTTGTGCTGTTTCTCAAAGAAAGGTTCATGGCCCTTTCTGTTTTGAGGGAAACACAATTATGGGGCAAGCGTATCTCGAAATGCTGCAGAAATGGCTCTTTCCACAACTTGATGAATATTCCGATGACTTCATTTTTCAGCAAGACGGAGCACTGCCACATTGGCACCTGCAGGTTTGACGTTTTCTAAATGACACACTGCCTCAACGTTGGATAGGTCGCACGGGACCCCAGGCCTTGGCGCTACACTCTTGGCCCCCAAGATCCCCAGACATCACACCCTGCGACTTTTTCTTGTGGGGATACGTCAAAGACCGTGTTTTTGTGCCACCATTAGCGACTCATCTGGATAACCTCAAAAACAAAATCACATCAGTGGTGACTTCAGTGGAAAAAGATACTTTGAGAGGCGTTTGGGACGAATTCAACTATCGTCTTGATGTTATCCGTACAGCAGGTGGAGGGCACATACAGCATTTATAAAATGGGTAGTAAAACTTGATAACTCATTAAACCGTTTGTAACTTTTTGTGTAATTGTAACATGTTGCCATTGTGAAATATATTGATTTTAAATTAGGTCCCTATTTTTGAAACACCCTGTACATTACTGCAAATACAAACTTGACATTGTCACACACTGGCATGGTAAAAAGGTGGTTGTGTGTCCAGAACCATGCCTGGTCACCTTCATCTGCTCAGTGTTAATGCTTTCTCACTTCACCATGTAATTAATTTAAGATCAATCAACATAGCAGAGGCCCATAATAAGTTCAGTTTTCACTTACACTATGTAACACTTTTTTTGTCCCTGGATGGCTCGTGTTATTTTTTTATTGGTTACGCCTAAAAAGTATAGAAAATTGGCTATTATTCCCCACAAACTTTCCTCTTGTGACCAGAACTTTACGTGAAGGAATGACACAAATGCACACGTTTTCTCATTTAAAATAGGTAAATTTCAAAATATTACTGTCCTGGTCACAAAAGCAAAGTTTGTGGGGAATAATAGCTATTTTCTGTATTTTTGAGGCATAAGCAATTAAAAAATAACACTTACTACCCAGGAACATTTTTTTTTGGTTACGCAGTGTTATCAATCATTTTTGCTGTCGGCGATAATAAAAATAATTGTTGAGTTCATAATGCAGTGAAATAACTGCACGACAGCTCCCCACAAAGTTAAACTCTTAAACACACATGCATTTCACATGAATCATGAATATTTTATGTATAAATGTATTTTTTGTCTGTCTGTGTGTGTGTGTGTGCGCACACTTGCAGGGATTTGGCTCTCAAACGGTGGGGTTTACGTTGAAAAATATAGCCAGGCACCACGCTGTAAGCCCCGCGGTGAGCAAGCTCTTTGATTTAGTGTACTTTTCGTTTATTTATGTATTTAATAGCACACTATCGACCATACCAACTCATACGCGTTCGGTGGGGGGGCCTGCCAAGTTCGGTGGGGGTGTGGGTGAAATATGCTTTAGCGTTAAACATGCTATAAAAAAAACACTAAACACCGAGGTAAATTCTTCACAGTGTGATGTCCCCCCCCCTCCACCCCAATACGTGCAGTTACTAATATAGAGTTGGTAGATGCTACTATAGGCCATAGATATTACTGCACAAAGGGTGGGGGAATCATGGGTGGAAGGGGTGAGGGCTAGCGGCCCAGCCCCCAGCCTGCCAAGTTGCCACCTCGCCCGGATCGGCAATATCGGTGAGGCCGAGGGCTCTGCGCGGGACTAGGCCTCACCACACCCCTCTGTCAGGTTAATACTTTGTGCTATAGAGTCCATATATACTGCTATAGAGTCAACTAGTACTCTCGTCATAGCAGGTACCACTACAGTCAGTATGCACTACTGTAATCATTGCAGGTACCAACCACCAGTCTGCACTGCTTTAATCATAGCAGGGACCACCATAGTAAGTATGCACTGTTGTAATCATAGCAGGTACCACCATAGTAAGTATGCACTGCTGTAATAATAGCAGTTACCACCACACTCATTATGCACTGATGTAATCATCGCAGGTACCACCACAGTCTGCACTGTTGTAATCATAGCAGGGACCACCACAGTAAGTATGCACTGCTGTATTCATAGCACGTACCACAGTCAGTATGCACTGCTGTAATCATAGCACGTACCACCAGTAAGTATGCACTGCTGTAGTGAAAGCAGGTTCCACCACAATATGCACTGCTGTAATCATAGCAGGGACCACCATAGTAAGTATGCACTGCTGTAATCATAGCAGGTACCACCAGTCTGCACTGCTGTAATAATAGCAGGGACCACTATAGTAAGTATGCACTGCTGTAATAATAGCAGTTACCACCACAGTCAGTATGCACTGCTGTAATCATTGCAGGTACCACCAGTCTGCACTGTTGTAATCATAGCAGGGACCACCACAGTAAGTATGCACTGCTGTATTCATAGCACGTACCACAGTCAGTATGCACTGCTGTAATCATAGCACGTACCACCAGTAAGTATGCACTGCTGCAGTGAAAGCAGGTTCCACCACAATATGCACTGCTGTAATCATAACAGGTACCACCACAGTCGGTATGCACTGCTGTAATCATAGCACGTACCACCAGTCAGTATGTACTGCTGTAGTGAAAGCAGGTTCCACCACAATATGCACTGCTGTTATCATAGCAGGTACCACCAGTCAGTATGCACTGCTGTAATCATAGCACGTACCACAATCAGTATGCACTGCTGTAATCATAGCAGGTTCCACCACAGTCACTATGCACTGCAGTCATGATAGCTGGTTTCGCCACATTCGGTATGCACTGCTGTAGTGAAAGCAGGTACCCACGCGGGGTATCAGAAATCTTTTATATCAGCTATTTACCCCCCACTTTCTATTACTTTTTGGACTTCTGCAAGCCTGATTTGGAGCTTTCGTGACTGCAGGAATTACTCTTTGGTTCTTTCGGTAAAGTCACATAGAAAGAGAACACAATAAATTAAATAATAGCATACGACGTTTCGATTGCAACACAATCAATCATCAGGTACAAACTGAGGAGAAAACAAACCTACGAAGGCTCCAAGTCTCTCATTGACATGCTAATTTATCTACCCCAGCCCTCTATCTCTCTACCCCCCTCTCTCTCTATTTAAGGCCTCGACACAAAGGCGTTGTTTCTCTATGTGCCTATGTGTGTCTCTCTCTGTGTGTCTCTGTGTTATCTCTCTCTGCTTATGTGTCTGTCTATGCGTCTCTGTGTCTGTTTTTTGTCTCTCTCTCTCAAATTTTATCAATCTTTGGAAGAACGTAATCAACCAGGTAGGGTGTTGACTGTTAGCCGACTCTCTTGAGTTGTATTGCATTATATTTCTAAGTTTACTAGGTTTGTTTTATCATTAATTCGTAATTGAGTATGATTGCTTGTTGCAATCTAAATGTGGTATGCTATTATTTTATTTATTATGTTCTATTTCTACGTGACTTTACCGAAAGAACCAAAGAGTAATTTCTGCAAGCCTCTTATAATTTT